CGCAACAGTCTCTGTTAGCGAATACGTTGATAACATTTTATTCAAGACGGGAAACATACTAAAAAAATTATGGACTTTTTGCTTGACTTTCTTTCGAAGGTCTGTTAGTCAGTCCATTTCAGTACGTTTCACACGTTGTTCGTTGTAAAAATTTTTTGCAATATGTAACAAAAACTTTTGTAATCATTTGCCATGGCTACGAATGTTCTAGTAAATGTCGTATCATTCTTTGCACCCCGAAGCCCCCACCGACGATTCGTTCATGTTTTATGCGATGAGAGAAAAGTTTCGAGAGGTTCTCCTCCAGAATTCCAATTACATTTTTGTTTTATTTTAAATTGACTTTATTAGACCTGCAGGTGCAGGAAGCTTGGACCTGCATCCATCAACTGTTCATAGCCTTATACCGCATACCGTAAACGCATTTCATCCACGATTGTTAACCTCTTCAGCAATGGCTTCATTTTATATGGCCGCAGTAATGATTCACGAATGAAAATTCGAAGCATTCAATTTTTCGCTAATAATTCAAGTCATTCCCAAATATCAAGCTTTTTTTGGGTCCGTGTTTAGCACTAGATGAAATTGACGGGTCTCAGTAAAAATAAATATATCGCATCCAGAAATAGCAAAGTGTAGTAGGCGTGTTCAAGAAAAAAAGAGCAGACGGCTATATTTGCTGCATTAAATTATTAGAAGCTAACATACAACATCTGAAGATATCTACTTACTTATGCGCAATTTTTGAACTTGAACTCACAAACCGTCACATTGGCGACTGCTGTAAATCTAATGTTGAGTAAAACGATTCAAAATTGTTTTTCCTAATTAACGCCCATTTCTGCAGCGATATCATAAGATTAAAAATATGGATCTTCCTACATTTTTTTGAAGAGTTGCGTCGACTTCGTTAAGAATTGCCCGATCAGAGGTAGATGCGTCCATAACAACTAAATTTTGCAGAGGTAGAAGAGGAAAATCGCTTCTGTCTTTCACAAGTTGAGATCAATTTTAAACCGCGAGTACTTTCTGTGTCTGTGAACTGCCACATTCAAAATGCTCTACAATATGATTTGATAGGGCTTCTTCAATGAGGGAAGATGTCACAAGCGTTTTCCTTCGCATGTTATGTAAAGAAAAATTGTCGCGCACTCCTTTCTTTAACGTTTGCTTTACAAAGGCAATGAAAGGAGAAGATGCAACGGCGATAGTTGAGGTTACATCAAAGCGTTAGTTTTCCGAACAGACGAAAATTTATTTAATAAAACAATAAATGCTAAATGCCGCTACGCGACTTAAAATTCTCTCTTCTTCATTACTATCACGTTCACTCTCTCTCATCTCCAATCAATTGTCTAATACCAGGCAAGATTGTGGAAAGAGAATACAGCAGAGTAAAGATAAAAAGAACTAAAAAAAGTCTTACACCCTTCAGGTTGAAACTTTCAAATGGCAACTTTCTCGAGCCAAAGTATGAAAACATTTTACTAATTGGCCAATTTAGGCTTCATAGATAATTGACATTCTCTTCCCTTTAATTCTTGAAAGCCGTTTTCAATATGGATGTTGATCAATATCCGCCGAGAGTTACAAGTTTCAAGTTCCTATTGCCCCGCCCGCGAGTATATATTTTCATTAAATTTTATGTCAATATCTCAGTCATTTGTCTGTACTGGACTCATCGTATTCTATCGTTGAATTTGGTTCATGGTCAACGATTTATATAGATTTTCATAATTTCGAACAGTGAAAAGCTGGAAGAAGCATAGCTAAATCGATTCAGTGTCTTATAGCGATCAAGACTAAAAGTGTATCATAAGTGGTTTTGCTATGAAACTCTTATATCATGAAAATGCGAAAAAATATTTCGTTGAAAGTATTTTTTTGTCGCTGGGCTACAAATTCATCTCATCTTCTTTGAAAGAATAGTTGTTTCGCGTCAAGGACACATTTGGTCTTGTGAGACTATCTATCTACGTAATGTAATCTTTTGAATGTCGTCATAAGAACGAAAAGCCTGTTCAAACACAATAGCTCATTAATTGCCATAAGTATTAATGAAAGGCCGGTGGAGCCTTTCCTGTGTTGTGGTACATTCTCGTACTACCACTGTTGTAATGCAGGAACGAGCATTGCGTCAAACAGCATAACATAACTGTCTTTCTTCAACGACTGATGCAACTGCATCAATTGTTGCTGGTAGCATTCTTTAGTGTTGCCTCAACGCAGTTAAAGCAGCTCATAACACAGTAGCCAGCTAAACCCTATAAATGAAGATGCCAAGTATATTCGGGTTTATAAACAATGTTAACGGTTCCCCTGGACTGCACCATGTTCTTTTACGCTTTCGATGCCGTAATACATCGACTTCTTTTCGCCCGTCATAATCCAACAGCACTTTTCTTCACAGAAATCAATCTTTATTGTAGGGAGCAAGCACAGATGATATCTAACATATGTCTCACAATACCTATGGTAGAAACAGTGTTCCACAAATATAGTTTTCAAGCAATAAAACCGCCATTGTATCGGCTATGTTTATCCGGTTCTTACAGTATTGCCTCTTTGGTGAACCCTGTTATCACACAAATGAGTAAGAGGAATATATATATATATATGTATATGCAGTATATATATATATATAGAGACATTTAGTTTTACAAAAACAAATCACTATTACTTTCTACCATATTTATAGAAAATGGATAAATCAACTGCAACAACATGTCAACTGTCTTGGTCTGTCTGTCTGTATGCCATTCGTATGGCGAATTTAAAGCTAGATTAAGTAAAGAATTAATGTATTTTAATAAAACACATAGTCATACAGATAGACAGATAAATCGATATAGAGATACTACTCTTACATAAATAGACATGTAGAAATTTAAATATGTATGTTTGTATTCGCAAACTAGAATTAATGCTTAAATGCGTGATTAATTGTAAATTATTAGCGCATTAGTTTTGATTTGCTGACAACCATTCTTACATACACCGCCCCGTTTCGGTTCCCTGGCGCGATTGTTCATTAAAATTGCTAACAACTTTTTTCGTTTTCCGTATAACTTGCAGAAAAAATGGAAATGGGGGGAATCGAAGAGAAATCTAAATGGAAAATATATGCGAGATATGTAGTTTTTCGGAATAAAGTGTAGCAATTGAATCACTTGCGCCAACGGGATAAAACATATTGCAATAGCTTTACTTGGATAAATGATCAACTAATAGAATTCGACTAAACACCTAAAAAAGTTATATGTTGCTTTGACGGAATCTTCTGTACACAAGAATCTTCTGTTCGAAAAAAAAAAAAAAGAATTTCTATACTGGGCATGCAGGGATGATTTTTTTAAATACATATGTTGGTCCTGGAAGGTTACCAACAGAATACGAAAAAGTTTTATAGGGTAGCGGGATCGTGGAATATGAGTAATGAACAAAAAAATCGGAAAAATGCTCTCAGTTTATGTTACTCTCTAATTGGGTTCTCTTAACGATTTGTTCCACTTTCTATACGAAACTGCTAGCAAGAAAGCAAAGCATAGACTTTACACACGGACAACCGCACATGCTTAAATCGATTTGGTATTCAATGCTGACCAATGCTTTAGCGATCTCAGAACCTTCTTCTTCCTGCGAACACACAATAGCAACAGCAAATGTTTTGACAAAAAAAAAAAAAAAATGTAGCCGCCATCCTTTGGTACTGGTGGGTATGAAAAGATTTGTGAAAAAAACTTGTTAAAAATATATCGGGGAAAAAATTCTCTTTAACAAAATCGCTCGAAATAGTTACTTTTTACGGGCCTAAAACAGTAAATCAGTGTAATAGAATCGAACTTTCGAAGTCTTCCGCTAATTAGTTTACAATATATCGTCTTTCTATTTTTTCTAAGAATAAATGTAGGGAGAGAGGAAATTGCTTTAATTTTCTCTCTTTTCCCTGGATGTTGTGTGAAAAATGGATAGTAATGCTGGAGGAGTGGTGAAGTGATCATCATATTTTATCGAAACCATAACCATGATTGACGTACAGCATTAAACCGCGGCCAGTTCAGCAGGACAATGTTGTTATTTCTAGACCAACGCTTGATGGTCGCCGATTTATGACGTGAAGCATTATCTTACTGGCATGTTATGTCGTCAAAAATGCGCGTCAACGTCAACATGAAGACAGCTTCTGGCACATTGTTGTACTTTTGACTGTTCATGCACAAATGAGTAGACATACATCCACATCCTAATGCTACGTCTCTCTGTGTTTGACGGTAGGTATCATACAAGTTGGATGATATCTCTCCGAATACCTAAAAATATTTTCAAAAGCAATTAATATTAGATTATTGGAGTTGTTTTATATCGATGTTATACCTGAAACTTGAGTTCTCCGGACCATACAATATTAGACCAATGGTGTCGTCGAGTCCCGTCCTAAGCGATTTTTTTTTTTTTTTGTGCTCGGACGGTTTCCTGGCTTTGCAACCTTTTGAAACTTTAAGATGAAGATACAATTTTTACATTAATCCACTCATTCGCGAAAGCGCTTTTTAAAACTACTTTTGATGTAATGCTTTCCTCTCGTATTTTTCGCTTCACTATGCTCTGAGCCCCGATCTACTAGAAGACCTTCAACACTTTTGCTTACTAATAAAGACATTTCATTATTTGTTTAAAACTTATATAAAGCCTGTAAACGAAGTCAAAAAGCCAAATGTTGAGCTTGAAGGTGATAGTGATTGATATTTCATAATATCTTCACTACAGAAAAATGATTCTAAATGGAAAGCATTTGGACGTATAACATAACGTATATCAGTGATAAAATTACAAATTCCCGATACTTTTTCGACCGTATAACCGTTAAATGAAATAACTTTTAGATAATTTTGTGGTTTTCTCATATTTTGCGTTTTCTCTATAGTTTTAATGACATTCAATATATTATTACAAGTTACACCATATAACTAATATAGATTGATTCTGTATTGACTTATAAGAATATTAAATATTAGAATTAGAATATATTGATATATATTTGCTATATGTTTACGGTTATATTTGTAGAGATAGGTTGATAGGGAGATATTCGGAATGTGAATTTGTGTTTTCCTTTCTTTTTTTGTCTTTATCTCATTTGAGCCCTGATTGTATTGGTCCAACTGTTTGTGTGCCGGTACAAACAACACGAGAACCAATTTAAATTGTAGGAATTTCAAAGTTGACATTTGATATTTGTACGTTGTGTCTCTTATTCAGTTACATTATCTCAAGATTTGTTTTTTTAATTTAAAATATCAGGAAAAATATTTCGAAAGTTATCTTTAATGCCGAAAACTACTAGGTCGCTTAAAACATGAAAACTCTGATAAATATTCAAAGTAACATGGAATCTCCGATAAATTAAAAAAGCAACATGTTGCTTGTTAAATATAAAAATATCATATGCTGAGAATAGAGAGAGAGAGAGAGAGAGAGAGAGAGAGAGTAGTCTGGAGTTAGTGAGTTCCAAATAAATCAGAAAATCAGCCGATGAATAGAGAGTCTAGAACTCATTTGACTTCGTATTGCGACGAACCCGATATAGATCCGTACGAAGACAAAGAGGTGAAAAATGTTTTCGTCATATCCTACTGCTATATAATTAATATTATTTACAGCCATTGGTTTATTTTATAAACATTGATTTCATAAACTCTGTGCGCGCGTGTAACCAATTTACAATGTACTCGCATCGATATGTGGTATGTTGTTAAGACCCGCATCTGGATTTTTCCAATAGTAAATGGGGGGCCCTTGACTGAAACAATATTTCATTTGCAGTGGTTCATCATTTTCCACATAATACATTAAATAGAAATTGCACATTTCATCCCTATTGGTGGCTCTGCAAGTATGCAAACAAAAAAAACAAAAGATTTAATTATTTTGTTGGCTATGAAACTTTTGGGTAGCAAGAAAGAAATTTCAGCCTTTCCCTTGTCTCTTTCTCCCTCCCTGTTAGATAGAGTGTGGGAAGGAGAGAGAGAGAGAGAGAGAGAGAGAGAGAGAGAGAGAGAGAGGGATGAAAGAACCAAGAGAAGGAAGCTGATAAAGACTAAATTTTTTTCTTGCCGATCCAATATTTTTATATATTTCGTATTTACCCAACTTCTGTTATACGTGTGCGATTACTTTTCATTGTACATCGAGCCGCTATAATATCACCACGGACAATTGGATCTTTATTTTCTACTGGATAAAACATTTGTGGTGTTAAAGGATTACGTTTCCCAAGTTGGGTCCAGTGTTGCACACCTCTAACATCGGAACGAATTCTATACCCTGCCACTATTTTACCCAAATTGTGCGTATGTGTTCGATATGCAAATGGCTGTACCGTCTTATTTTCACGAATTTCACAAGCGGTTTCCATATGCTCAGTTGACATAGGTGGTATCATGCCGGCTGTTCCCATCAGTAGCACACCAGCCAATTTATTTAAACTGAAAAATGAAAAAAAAAACACACATAATTTTAAATCAAATCAAAAAAAAAAAAAAAAAAAATGAATATGCATTTTGTATGCTTCTCACTACGATAATTTATAATATCTCTATTCGAGCAGCCATACTTTTGCCAGAAAATCTGGGCCTAAAAAAAATAATCTCTCTCTTTCGCTGCCTCTCCATAAAAGTTTATTCGACAACTAATAAATTAGACAGGAGTTAAAATAAAGCAATGAGTGATTTTACAAACCATATAATTCATTTTTTCAAAAAATTGGAGAAATTCATCGAGAAAATGGTCTCGACCAAAATCATAGGTCGGTCGAAATATTATTTGATTCATCAAACATTAATAACTCTTTGGTAAACGAAATTATTTAAATTAATTGAAGCAAAACTTTATGCGAAAGGTACAAATAACTCTCTGCTTATTGACATTAGATAAGGCTCTAGTGTTAGTTAGTTACTGCAATTGTGATTCACAACTGTTTCAATAACCAGAATAATCGAAGGAAAGAAGTACTTGAAAGCTATTAAAAGAATAACTAGAATACATACTGCTCTAATGTTAGGCAGTTACTCTCTTTGCTAGAGACATTGCAACATTTGTTATGTATATTTTCGATCAAAATGACATTTTGCGATGATTTAGTTTTTTTTCTATACCGGAAAATATTCGAATCTTTTAGTCAAGATATTATTAGATAACTCAAAAAGTCTTATAGAATTGAGATGGAACTCTGTTGCATGGCTAATACTTGTTCTTCTTTTTCTTCTTCTCTCTCCCTGGCTCTTTATTGAAAGTGTGATGATGTTTTCAAAGCTCAATTTTTTTGAAAACATTGCAACATTTGTGCAAAATAAATTCCGAAGAAGCTTAGTGAAAATATTAATTTTCTATTTGCTATTACTTCACATTCGTAGTGGTTTACAAAAGATCTATGGAAAACTTTAAATTTAATTTATTTAAGTTTCATAAAAAATCAAAAAATGAATTTCGCACACGTGGAATTTACAGGAATTGTGAATACATCAGTAAACTGATCAGTATTTTTTTTCTCTTAACGTTGGTCTACAGTTCTAGCAAATAGTTCTTATCACTTTTTGTATCAATATGGGGCTGTTACTACTACCTAAGGGAGGATATTGAAATTTTCTCCACTTTTTGGAAGTTATGTCCACTACGTAACTTTTGCGGACCTAATTACAAGATGGCTATGAACGTTTTTCAGTTCAATTATAATAGAATTGAAAAATAAGTAAAATTTGACAAAAATTATTCGTTTTCGCCTCAATTTTTGATATATTATGTGCAGTTCTTCCGATCAAGATTCATAGGCTGCTGCCAATTATTAAATGCCCTGCATCAGGTAATAAACGGGGAATGGAAAGCAAAAGGTGAGTGTATTTTACTTCCTTTGGGTGTTGCATACAATCACACATGTTTAATATATCTTTCTATCACAAGTGGTCTAGAATGTAATAAATAAAGAATACCTCATTATTGATATTACAAACGAAATGATAAAAATTGTATATCTTTTCTGTCTTTCCCTATTTATTAGCTATGTACATTTTTTTCCACAAGTCCTAAAGACTTTAGTACTTACGGTTTCTCAGTATAATGTAAAAATACTCCTGAATCGTCACTGCTTCCATCTGAAATTTGGAATGACGCAAATCAATATATGTACACATACAATGTCTATCAAATTGATTTTACGAGTTTATCCTATATTTAGTAAGATTTTAAATATGATGAAATAGAGCACTATATATATGCTCTTGCAAGAACATTTTAAAAACAATTTATTGCCAAGAGCTCTCGCGTTTTTATTGCACTAAGTTCAAGGCCGCTATAAGAAACATAATGAAAACGTTTCCTCTTCTACGAATAGAGTATCCTCAGATATAATCGGATAACTTTTATACATTTTTTTCTATCGATAATTGAATATCCTTTGAAGGGGCTCTAATTACCTGCTGTCCGGGAGGCCTTTGTCTGCATGAACATTGTTAGATCAAGATGAATCCAATTTTCAACTCAAAATTTGCATAAACATTTCATCCCCTCTCGTATACACTGACAATTGGGATTAACTTAAGCTATGTGTTTTATTGGTTTGGTAAAGCGCTTAACATAAAATTTTGTTATTATAATCAAAAACAAGTAAAAGCACTATAGCGGGCTACGGCTCACTATTGAACAACCTACACCACCCCACAATTATTCAACAAACTTTCAAAATAAGGCATTATGTGGGAAGCAATCGAAAAAGTGATCCGATTCGAACTATTTTCAATAGTCTCTGGGTCAGAACACGTTAGAGTATCAAATTTGCATCAAAACATCCCACAAATTGCGTCCTATATTTTGAATACAAAACGAACAGACATGCTTGATTCGATTCGCAAAGTGAGTCTGCACCGATCGGTACAATAAAAAGTGAGTCTATTTCAAGTCATCAAGGGTATTGCAAAGATCCGCACAAACTTAATATGTCCTTGTACCACTAGTCGTGTAGAGTATAAACAGTATATAACCCCTTTGAACAATTGATAATAAATTCGAAAACTTAATGATTAGACATTGAAAACGTTAAAAACAATGAACATACGCAACATACCTTTAAATTTTTTTATGCTCGCGTAGTGTACTTGCAAAACTATATACTTTATGGGTGAATTACCACCAACTCTAAAGCCCACACCTTCGGGTAATTCCAATTTCGGTGCATCTCTGGCCCAAGCATATAAAATCTAAAATGATTAAATAAGAAATAGTTCATAAAAACTGAAATTGAAATGACTATAGAAATAGGAATACATTTTTACCTGCGAAGAAGAAGACGCATCGCAAGGACTAGCAGTTTCTTCTGTAGTGGATGTTGCCATTTCACCACAGTTCCTTTAAATAATAATAATAAACTGTTTTTAATTCTTTATCGAAATTATTTTTTACGCAATTATTTACCATACTGTATGACGAGTACCTGGCTCTCCGCAGCCATATACAAGCATATGATGAGCCGTATCCATAGTAGCATTCGGTTCATAACCCACTAAAAATGTGAAAATATACCTTAAGAATCTTTCGTTAAACCTAAGACGAGATGTATTTCTTACCTATATGATAGCTTTTGGTAAAATCAATCTTAACTGGTGTACATAGATATAGTTCCTCCTGAAATCAATTAGAACAAACGGAAAAGAAGTCAAATTACGTTAAATTTCTATCGTCACAACACTCTGGCATTGAATATTTATTGATATATGAAAACGTTATACAGTTGCTAAAACCATTAAGGCGATTAACAGAGGTCGATAAGTTACTTTAGACTATTCTAGCGAGGGTTTCCCATACTTTGCCAAAATTAAATTTCTAAACAATCAGTTTAGTGCTACAGCAGATATGTAGGATTTTGTGTCTCTTGTCTTGTATTCCAAGGACAAGTGCTTTTAAACTTTTCGGCGATTAGGATCTATAACGAGCAGTTTATTGTTTACTCAATTTGATTCTGAAGAGTTATCAGGCCTTTCGATTAACTACAAACTAGAATTTTCAACTCAGGCATGTCTGACATTTTGAGTTATGAAATAACTGAAGTATCTTGATTACTTGATTATTGCAGCGGACTTTAATTTATATTATTTTGCATGCCTTCTTATCGATGGGACGTGAAAAGTGAGGAGAATCATCTAACATAGACTAGTAAAATGAATTTATAAAAATTAATCAGCCAAGAATTAAAGATTATTTTTAACTTGCTGTGTGCCTTGCGAAACTTGTAGACATAAGTCCACAAAGAAGTGATTGAATCACTCATCAACATCTTTCGCTAATCAAGTGTGAATGCAATTTTGTCAAAGGTCGTCTCATTTACGTCCGCTTCTAAATGAGATCAGCTTTTGATCTTTAGCATGGTTCTCGGTATCGAATAAACTCGAGCGAGAAAAGTCCTAAACTACCAGTTATGGAGTCAGTGTAACGAAGAGCGAATTTACAACCGTCGACAAAGTAAACATTTTCCTTACCATCGAATGAAATATTTTCGATTGTAAAATCGCCGTCAACTCTCAAGATATTCAAATTACGATCGAGATTTACTCTCTCTCTTTCTCTGTCTCTCTGTCTCTCTTTCTCAATGCCGAGGAACACAAAGCGGACCAAGGTCTTCCACCGAATCGAGACAACTGCAAATTACTCGAATTTGTTTCATTACGATTTGTCTTTGTTTGCCTACGTGTGCAGGCTTCTAAAAGTCTTTGCTATGATTATCGAGGATAATATATTTGAATAATAAAAAAATTCCATTTCAGCATAGAATAAACTTTAATGTAATTTTTTCGAAAAGGCAAGGCTTAGGAGCGCGATCTAAAGAGAATACGATGGCACCCACGAATACTGTTCGAATTATGTGAATAGATTAGTTCGACTTAGGCTCAATTGCAGGAACCACTATGTATCAGCCACACGAAGACGTGTCGCAGCGAGCGTAATTAAAAAACAAGGATTATTGAATTGCCCTATGTTGTATGTGTCATTTCGTGAGATGAACCCTCTTCGAAATACGCTTAAATGCAAAACCTGGTCTTTAAAGTGTTAATTAAATCTAAAAAAGCGATAGACTGCTAGACGTCAATACATGCATTATATTGTTTTGTTTGGCATTGCCTTCTATGAATAGCATACCAAGAAAGTTGACAAACAATTTCACGCTGTGATATATCAACCGCGTGAAATAAAAAAGAAAAACAACAATAACCCACGCATGAATGTTCCCTATTGCTACACATGTAACAATGATTAGCAGCAGAGATTCTTAATCTTTAATCTAGCACGTACTAATGATAGAAGTGTTTACAAATTCTTAAAAATTTGTTTAATTTTTCTCCAAAAAATTCTTAATTTTAAATAAAAAAATTGACTTTTGTATTCTTGTAAAATGAACAAATACGGACCAGAGAACCGTCTAAAATATAAATATCCGCTGTTAATACTAGTGGCGTTAAGTTTGGTTATAAAGTCTTCGATAACACAACCTCTTATGTCGCTCCATCTTATAAAAATAGTGAACGTTGGCGGGATATGTCATAATTTACTATCAGTAGGGAACTTTCCGGCGACAGGGAGAGTCTGCTTGGAGAGTCATCGAGTTCGGCGGGGATTATACGATCGCAGACTTCTTTCCCGCGTCTTCAGCCTGAATGGTGACCCAGGATGTCATCGACCACAACGTGATCACATGGTTATGAAGGAGAGTGATATGGTGCTCGATGTATGGTGGGTTGATATCTTCTCCTTGTACAATAAATCCAAGGGGGAAAGTAGTTAGATGGCGTCGGGAGGGAGGGAGTTTTTTTTTTACTTTTTAAGATAACCTTTTACGATAATCTTATAAGAAACTTTTATACTTGTTAACGAAGGATGGCAGTATTAAGTTTCTCCTTCTATTTGTTACACGTAGTAATATGCTTGACAGATTGAGATTCTGATCTAAATTTAACCGTATCCCTCTATACTTGCAAAAAGTAAGTAACTAAAACTTATACGCATAACTTATATTTACCTAAAATATAGTGGAAAAGATTTGAAAGGCCAACCCAATTGTAAAGAACGGAACAAATCGTCTAACTGATATGCCGATAACTGTTGGGAATGTAATTAGATTTTTCAGCGATTTCTTTGTATTCGTGTATTTTGAGAATTGATTGCAATTGTTTTAATTAATTGACTAACACGCCAAACAGTTAGGAAAATATTTTGCAATATTTATATATTGATTCAAGACACTGCCCTATAAAAATTCTTCGCAAGGACAATGTAATTGTCTGTTTGTTAAACTATGAACACCTCAGTGGTCCCTTGTCGAATATTTTTTGACAGACTGTTTCTTGAATAAATGTATTAAAATTCATTAAATAATTAGAAGTGCTTGATAGGCGCGGTCCCTCCTAGAGGCGAAATTTTACACTATAACAAAACTTTCATTCTGGTTTTTTAGTTTTGGAATAGTCCCTCTATATTGCAGGAATGCCTTGCAAAGCTGAGGAGCGTCCTAAATGCCAATAGTTCTGGAAAATTCATTTGACAAAGGCTTCACGCCATTTGTAGAATATTGTAGTAATAATTGACAATAGCTATTCAGCATGCTTCCCGTAGGATATAAGAAAACTGCTGTCAATACCTTTCGTCAGTTAATTGCAAGACATTCCATATGAGTTTCAGAAAGGAAGTAACACGACGGTTGCTTGTAGAAACTTATGAGAGTGAAGTTGTAAATCTTCGTAGCTTTCTCTCCCTAATTTTCAATGCTTCATGATAAAAAAATCAGATCATAATAGAAATTTATGATAAATAAGTTAAATGCGCAAAGTTTCGACGATCTCGGCCTACATATAGATTTTCACGAAGGTTCCTGATCCTTTGTCTTTCAAAGCATTTTCGCCAACCTAAGTTAATTTCTTCTTAATTCCCGCATTTAACTTTTTTCGTTCGCATTCATGAAAAAGATCTGCATATTATCTTGGTGCTGATTAAGAACTCACTATGTCACTTTTCGTATTTTTTCGAGTAACATAACAACTACGTAAATCACAGGGCAGGTGTATATTGAACGTAAAACATATCTAACCATATTCCTCTAAGACTTGTTAATGCTAGTGAAAGTGATTTCATTTTAGCAAAAAAATTTGACAAATTGCTATGAAACGTTTGCGTAATGCTGTGCAGTCATTACAACACTTTTGTTTACTCATTAATATCTTTATTATTTTGTATATGGAATAAAAAAAATAAATCTTTCGAGTACTGATCGCCTATCACCCCTTAATTTCGAACACTTTATTGTTTGCTTTTTGATAAAGTGCAACCATTGCGTGGTTCCATTAACTCTTGCGTATCAAGCATAAAAGGAGTAAGAAAATTTTATCTGATTCAAGTCACACACTCATCTTTTAACATAATTTAAAAATAAGAACATTATAGTCGGGCAATGTCGACTAAAACACTCCATATCAATTCGCCGGCTATAGTTATTCGCTCGTCTTGGCAATTATTGATCAAATATCATAAATCACTTTCATGCAAAAATATAGTTTTCATGAAAGCCCGCATATTGGAGGATGTCCAAAACATTATAAGACGTTGCCCAAATTTACTAAGCTTAATTTACTTCTCAGCAATTTTATTTTCTTCGTTTGCGTCATACAACTAGACACTAGAAGTTATATTTTCCCTCTATATAAGGGCTTGTTTATAATGATAATCCTTACATATCTTAGCGTCTAAAAAATGTAATCTACGTTATATAAATTTCCTACTGTTAATTTTGTTGCTAAAGTGCTGCCATTGCAAATTTTCATTATAAAATATTAAAATCTAAAATCCCTTTTTCAAGGGATTATTCTCCATCAGCAATCTTATATGAAGTAGAGTCCAAGAAATAGAGCCATGTTTTTCAAACTTGGTCCACTTCATTTTTATGTCGAATGACTATCGCGAACAAACTTTCTTTATAAATTAGGCCCTTTTGGCATATAAAGGTTTACATTCCATAAGAATCCATATATGGGGTGCTATCCAAATAATAGATTAACGCAGTCTAAGTTGATCAAGTTTACGCTTATGAACCGATTTTTGCCATGAAGTATTGAAAATTTGACTTTAGTATATACTACACCACTTGCGGTACGGGGTATATTATGTGTGCGGACGTATATAACACCATGTAAATTTGTGTTGTTTGTTTTTTATATGTTTGTGTTTGTATCGTTATATGAAAAAAAATTGCAATTTTCAAAAGGATTTTGAGTCGATTGCTGCAAAGAAAAATGGTGCTAGGTCAAGCTCTTCTAGATATTGCACACGTCCACCTAGACTTATTAGACCGCCACCACATATGGATAGGATATAAGACATATGGAATGAAACAAATGTTTTTTTTTTTCACTTTTTAAGATAACCTTTTAAGATAATCTTATAAGAAACTTTTATATTTGTTGACGAAGAAAAGCAGTATTAAGTTTCTGCTTCTATTTGTTACACGTAGTAATATGCTTGACAGATTGAGATTCTGATCTAAATTTAACCGTATCCCAGAAAGCAAGTAACTAAAACTTATACGCATATAAACTTATATTTACCTAAAATATAGTGGAAGAGTTTTGAAAGGCAACCTATAACGCAATTGTAAAGAACGGAACAAATCGTCTAACTGATATCCCGATAACTGTTGAGAATGTAATTAGATTTTTCAGCGATTTCTTTGTATTCGTGTATTTTGAGAATTGATTGCAATTTTTTTAATTAATTGACTAACACGCCAAACAGTTAGGAAAATATTTTGCAATATTTATATATTGATTTAAGACACTGCCCTATAAAAATTCTTCGCAAGGGCAGCGTAGTTGTCTTGTGTGTTCAACTATGAACACTTCAGTGGTCCCTTGTCGAATATTTTTTGACAGACTGTTTCTTGAATAAATGTATTAAAAATCATTTGCCTTCGATTGTTAACGAAAACATTAATGAAAATTATATTAATTGCTTGGCTTGTAACGTAATTTAAGAAATCTCCCCACGAATTCATGGAACGAGATTCAACTTTCTATTGAGAATTTCAAATAAAAATTTACCGAAGAGTAGAGAAATGTAAGCAAACCTTTGTATAAATATCGCTAAATGCAGCCAAAATATTGTCCTAATATGGAATGTATCTATATCTTGGCTTTACTTCTTGCAAGCAATATGAAGAGCTTAGTATATTCAATATATTATATAGCGAAGTAATGATGTATTGCTTAGAGATTTTACACTTGCTCTCGTTTCTTTGTACAAAGTTAATACAAATTGCAAAGAACATGTGAATAAATGAGAAAATACAATCAAGTATACGTATTGTGTGCTCGCATGCAAAATCCATATCAGCGCTTCCCAAACTAATTCATGCGTATTGACATTTGCTCTAAATCAAATTAATGATTATGTAATAGGAATGGGTAAAGAGTAATAGACTATCGTAATTTTTCAACAGTGAATGTTTATATAATTTCCATATCACATACGGGCAACTCTCTTGTAAACGATTCATTTTTTTTACAGAGTATAAAAATAATATACATATGCAAATGAAGTTTCATTTTCCGGAGAAGTTTAATTTATACTTCACCTATTTATTGAAGAAGTAGCTTGCCTTAATGTTAAGATTCTTCCTTTCCGTAGACATCTTATAGGATGAAATCAAAAAATTGAAATAGTCTAAAATAGGATTGCTTTTGATTAACTGGGTGAGCACAACTTTGCAATCATACGTATATGTTTCGCACCAGTCAAAATTTGTTAATGTCAACATCGGCTATAGATAGCTGATCAAAGAGGGAAACAGCTCAATTGATGCAGAGAAAAGAAAATTAAAGCTTTGCGACCTACAGTTTGGGAAACACTGATTGATATTAAAACAAAGTGGGTTTAATTCGAACGTAGGCTTGCAAAAACAGGATAACGAGCAACCACTTTATTTAGAGATAGTAACATTGACATATAAACACAGATGTAATCCTACGTAAGCATATTTATACCACCTGTTTATTAATGAAAAACGTTTTTGGTTGAAAATTAAAGATAAAACTATCTTCCCAAGTTTCGAGTAAACATGTACGGAATGAATTCTCACTTGTTTGTATGTTATATTGTTTAGAGAGAAAAAAAGGAAGAATTTTTCACATCACACGCACACGAATTACTATACAAATTATTATTAACATTAAACCGGTTTTAGTTTATTTTTTTAAAAACGTATTTGCACATTTAATAAATTGATTGTAGAGAATAACTCTACATAGTAAATAGACTTACAGTTTTTGGACGAACATTTGGCATTAAAAGTGGAAATCTACCCACTTCTTGTGGCCGTTGTGTCTGTGCATTATAAACACTGTTATAATATTCATCACTAACGAGTCCATATGTTAATTGCAATAATCCTGCAAATGAAACGAACATCACCAGCACCAGAAGAATTGTTTTGTCACGTAAACAACTCATGATGAACTTTTTCGAAAAACTGATATGTTTTAATTAATTTGTATTTTTTGTTATTTTGGGTTTTCCTAATAATATTTCAAGTTTATTTTTTCTTTGCTTTGCTTTTAACGTGAGTGAGTGAAGCTTACATCTAATAAATTGTGTGTACTCGCTAATCTACTACTGCTTGAATGTGTATATATATGAAATGAATGCAAAATAAAGATTGGTAGCTCCAAAGAGAACGAACTAAATTGAATTGAACACAATTTCAAAAGTATTCAAAGTATTGTTGTAAAAGAACTTATTTAGGAATGAGAAAACATGAAAGAAAGACAGCGAGAGAGAGGAAGAGAAACACTATAGAATGAAACATTTTGTTCAATCAGCTGTTACACTTTAATATGCTTAACAAGTGGTTAAGGTGAATACAAAGAAAGTGTTCTGTTGACAGTTAATTTGAAAAGGGAACATGCATTTATACTTTTAGTTTGTATGATTCGTGTAATTCGCATAGTAATTGTGGCGTTAGTGAGAAAGGAATTATCGTTTTTGGCAAGAACCAAAGAAAAAGCAAAAATATTGTTCAATTTTATTTTATCTGTTAATCTATTTAAAGGCGTGAATATTCTCATTCTTATTAACGAAACTTAAAGTAAAAAGACACTTAAAGTCAGATCGTTATCATCGCCATAAATTTTACTATATTTTCTTTTGGATTATTGAATGTGATATGTCTAACTAATTGATAATTCGTACAATTCCAGTGGTTAGATCCGATTCAGTTTTCTTTGTTGTTTTCATGAGGCGTGCTAACAGAGTGTTGCAAATTAAAGAAACATAAGAATAGTTTCAGTCGAAAATTTTGCAAAATTTAGGAAACGATATTTGGTTGAACAAGAAAAAGTTAAAAACATGAAAAGTGTTTGATAAATAAAAAGGAAAATGTGTCAAAATGTTATTGTAAAAACTATAAAAAAAATTAAAGGAAATTTTATTTAGTTGAAAAGAATATTTAGAAATTCTATTGAAGTCCGTTAGCTCCTTATCACGACAATCCTCTTAAACGTTATCTGTTTCATGTGAATCATTAGGTACGGTGTCATATTATATTGGGCGTAGAAATGAATATGTTCCGTTCTTTGGCAAAATTAAACTTTTTTTAAAATATAATTGCTACAAACTTTACTAACTGAAACGTGCATAATCTTTACCGATAGTCTTTTCCCACTTATGGGGTAGCTTATGGATGTCCTCGTGGTAGAAATATCGTTGTTCGGACGTGAAGGAATCATCAATTTATTTGGGCGAATTTTCAACTTTGCAGAACTCATGTGACTGTATTGATATTAACCATTGTTGAGCACAAGTAAGCAGGCGTGAAGAAGATAGCAGGTGCGGTAAAACTACGCCCTCCCACTCACCCTTAGCTAAAAATTATTTCCTGGATTGCTTCTACCTTAGATGGGCAGACGTACACGAATTTTCGTCGTTTTCAAGACTACTACTTTTATGCGCAAAATTCTGCAAAGCAGTTTCTAGCTGCTTACTGCACTTTCATTTCAAGCCAAGTTAATTATTTCACAGCTTCAGCTGCATTTTTTCCAGCTTAACTGAGTCAAAAACACAAAAAAGTGCAGTCCGTTAATTGACGTCTCTCTCTCTTTAAATTTTGATGTACAATAAACCACAGCTTGTAAAGTCCCGAAACTTACATCATTTAAATATTAACATCTATTACTATATACTGAAGAGTCCATTTGTATCAAGTCTGCATCAAGGGGATAAAATATATAAACACTAAATCATCAGTGACGGAAAGCCAAGTTTTAATTTTCCTATCTACTCGGCTACTCAGGCGGAAGTGTCTAATTCGTGACACCATCACATTTAAGCAAATATTTTCCAAATCTAATGTATTGAAGCAAAACACGCTAGTGTACCCAATTTCCTCAAAATATCTCAAAAACTAAGGCCTGCAGATTGAACTCAAGAAGCCAAGACGGACAGATGGACAGAGAAACCTAAATCGATTCAGAGAAAATCGCTAGGCATAATGGAAGGGAGTTCAGTCTCGAGGCATTCTGGTTGTCGCTTAATACAACAACAAATATTTTAGGATATAAAAACTCTGAATAAAAATGAAATGTACAAATAATTTTTCAATTTTTTTTTTCAAATGTACAGATTTTCTTTATGTTGTGTTTGTGTTTTGCTCTTTTGTAGACCGATTTTTCTTTTATTATTACGCGTAAAGCACAACATCAATTTAACTACAATAAATGTTTTTCTTTCGAATTATTACAAAGTTTTGCTTACAAAAAAAAAAAAAAAGAAATAGAAAATTTCTGATACATGAAAATATGAAGAAAATCAAAATAGTTAGTTGAAAATCGGTGGTGATTGAACAAGCTGCGGTGTACATATGATGAAAGGGTTAGCACCATTTTTATTCAGTAAGTGGTTAAAAGCTCTTCTTGTATGCTATTTGAACGCAATAGCTGTGAAGGCGTAGGCCCACCTTCGAAGGAGATTTTTGGCGAGGCTGTTGCCGTTTTTTGAGCATGATATTCATCAGAAAATTCCTGAAAATTAGAATAGAACTTTAGAAAACAACTTTTCATTTATATTATTAATTTCAGCAGATCACCTTTAGGCGATGACCCAAGAAAACAGCACGTTCACGTTTCTTCACCATATAATCGGAGGACATCAGCCATCTATGCTCAAGACAGTCTTCGGTATAGGGACGTTTCCTTAATAACAATGCAGACGGTCAATAATTTCTTATTCTAGCATTTATAAAAATCATTACTTACGTGGGATGTCGCTTAAATAAATACATAATGAAACGTGTTGCTTCTGGTGTGACTTCTTTGTACAGATTTTCGAATCGATAGCGTACGTAGGCTATATTTTGTTTAGTCTCATATTCATCTGCTCCTCGGAATGGACTTACACCGGATAGCAGCAAATAGCTTAAAGTGCCCACTGACCAAATATCAGTTTGTGGATAAACAGGCTCTTCCATAACCATTTCAGGTGCTTGGAAATCTAGGAAACCGCATGCCTTCACTTGTTTTCCTAATTTATTAACTCTCTGAGCGCAACCAAAATCTATCAGTTTTATTTGTATAGAACGCACCGAAGCCATAACTATATTGTCTGGTTGTAGATTCAAGTGACAATAACCACGCCAATGTAAATACTGTAAGGCATCGAGCAGTTGCATAATTACGGTGGATACCATTTGTTCCGAGTATTGATGGCGGCTACTAAAGTATGTTAATATGTCAGCACCTTGTAACTTTTCCATAATAAATATAGCTACGGGTACGTTCAAAGGCTTGTAGGCTGCGAATAGAGCCGGTATACGTTCGTGCCGTAAAGTTTTAAAATTATCAAACTCCGTTACTACTTCTTCTTCATTTTGCTCAGTCACTTCAAATATTTTCGCCACTACAACAGCATCGGTGGACTTTTGTATTCCCTTCACGATGGTACTGAATTCCCCACGTGCAATTTCCGAGATGAAACTGTATTTTTCATTAACTGAATGGTCTGTCACCCAGTTCGGTGGTTCACGTTCGCAATGATAGTCGGTGTGGACACGTTCTTCTTCCGGCACTACTGTCTGACCATTTTCAGTTTGCAACTGCAAGTGTTTCATAGCCTTGGTAATGTGAATTTTGGGAGAATCGGAGCCCGAAGTTGACGCCGTGATCGGTATACCCATTTTGCTCCAACCAATACGGTTTCTAGAAGCCAATCTAAACATATAATTAGTATTGGGTTGAAGGTCATGCACCAAAAAGAATTCGTGGTCAATATTGTCGGCAATAGTAGCCCATGCATCACTGTCGACGCGTTTATATTGCAAACTGTAGCATAGTACTGAAGTGTGGCCATCATCGCGCGGTTGCTTCCAACGCAACAGAATCTCACTGCCGCTGGCAGCCGATACTTCGGGAGAATCTGGTGCATCTGGCAAAGAAGCGATTACCACACGACATCTAGCTAAAGTTTGACCGACTTTGTTGCGTGCTACCGCCTTATAAACACCGACATCGAATTGCATGGCTGGCTCGAAGCGCAAAATAGATCGACCGTCTTCATCAGTGTGGAACTTTATACGGCTGTTCTCAATTAATACCATATCGTTTTTAAACCACTGGACACAAGGTTTGGGATCACCGACAGCAAAGCAGTGAATGTGCGCGGGTTGGCCTTCTGTAACGGCCAAAGTTTGTGGTTTCTCTCTGAAAAATGGCGGGTAACCTTCACGGCGGCATTCGATTAAAGCTTCTGCTTCCGTATATTCGTCCAAGCGGGGACCTAATTCAGTACGAAGGCGACGGATTGTGTAAGAATCCTGGGCGCTGTACATGCTAATGCGGCTACGTGTACGCTCATCATCAATTTCTTCATCCATAATATCGGTGAAACGACGACGTTCCCGTATAATAGGCAACTGCGTAAAATGGAAGAAATATCGTGTACACAGAGTTACGCAATTTTATTACATTTTTTAAACACCTACCGTCCAATCGACACTGTCATTTAAGGCAAACGAAGGCGATCTACGATGAGCCACTTTCATGTACTCTCTGAGACGTACCGGGAAACTAACATCACGCAATTGTAGCAGATATGTGTCAGGACCATACTGATAGCTAAACAGGGATATCTATTATTAGAAAGAAACGTTAGTACGTCAAAAGCTCAACTTACTGACTCTCGGACTGTATAAGACCTAATTCGTAATCCGGATGTAAGAACTTTGAATATGGTTCAGCCCGTTTGCTACGTATTTTGGGTTCAGGCAAGGGCTCTGGTGTGGGCTCTGGTGTATATACAAAACCTGGAGGGTAAACCATTTTTGATGGATGCGTCCAACAGCCGCTCAACCGCCGGCGACGGAAGTAGTGCTTGCATGAAGCATTACCGTACCAATCTCTAAATCCATTGTAATAATTACGCAAACGATCGGTATTTATGAGGTACTCATCTTCGGTTACTTTACGGTCTAGCATGTAGAACCAAGGATGCCGGAGCGCCGTATGAACATCCATACGTTCTTCAGGGCTATAAAATAGCAAACGCCGAATAAAATCGCGTCCCTCGTCAGTTATGTGAGTCCAAATGGAATCACTGAAGTCCCAGTGGCTTTCCTTAATTCTCTGCAAAGTCTCGCGATCGTTGGCACCACGGAAGGGATTATGACCAGCAAGCAGGACATATGTTATAACACCCACAGTCCACATATCATGAGCATAGCTAACACCTTCTTTGTTAATCACCTCAGGGGAAACAAATTCTGGCATGCCAAAATCCAAGGTTGTCAAATGATGAGTATTAATACGACGTGTTAAGCCAAAATCGGAGATTTTTAGAATTTCACTGCCCACCACAGAAATTAAGAGATCTTTAATCTACGATAATTGTAAAGGAATTTTTATATAAGCATTACATTGAAAGAAACATAAGCTTACGGTTAAGCCCATATGAGCTAAGCCTGTATCATGCATATGCTCCAAGCCCCACAGCGTTTGGCGAATATAATTAGCAATATCACGCTCTCGGTAATAATCTCGGCGTAATAAATTATCTCTAACCAGTTCACCACCAGCAGCTAATTCCAAAATTAACGTTACATGCTGCTCAGTTTCATAGGCGTCATGCAAACGTATCAAGTGACGACTATTCAACATGTTCATCATCTCCATTTCATTAAGCATGAAGGGTCGTAGTTCAGGTTTACCGTATTGAATCTTGGCGGCATAATTATCGCCTGATGCCCTTTCCACGGCATGGTAAGTAATACCCTGTGTTCCCCGACCCAGTTCGTCTCCTATATCGTATTTGTCTTCAAACCGTATGGGTTTAAAGCGGACATAAGGATGCCGGCCGTAGGTATCGAATATATACTGATCTTCACTATCCTCAATGTGCACCATAATCGATGAACTCACTGAGCCCGCTACGTTACGAGCACTGATAGAATAGAGACCACCATCTTTAAGAATGGAATCGTTAATGGATAATATATACACATTAGGTTCAATATGACGCATCTGCATAAACAATATTAAACAATTTATTACATTTTTTCAAAAAAGCAATTTGCCTTCATCTTACCTTAATACGACTACTCTCAGCCAAAGGTTGCCAATCTTTATACCAACGAATTTCAGGATGTGGTACACCTACCACGTGAGCTTCTATGCGACCATTTTTGCGTCCCATAATAAAAGTTTCTTCGGGGCGTTTGGTAAAACGTGGATATTCCGCCAATTCTAACCGCACACGCTGACGAACCTCTCCATGCTCATTAGTCGCCACAGCTTCATACCAACCCACGTCACGATCAAGCATTCTAATTTTTTATTTAAAATAAGTTCTCAACTACCTTCTGCTATAACGAAAAAATTTGATTTGAATACTTATTAATAAACAGTGTCGCCTGGCCATTGCGAGTGTAACTGAAGTCAAACCGTCCACCTGGTTCAATAAGCATATCATCAAAATAATAAGTCATCCTTGGTTTCGGGTAACCGTAGACAAACCACATTAACTCGGTGTTATGACCTTTTACACCATAAGTAACATCACGTTCACGGCGTAAAAATCTAAAAATGTAGAAGCCTTTAATAAAAAAGCGGAAAATTAAAATACGGAAAGAGAAAGATATGGAGCTTACTGCGGTGCTTGAGCTAATCCATCATGAGGGGGACATTCTATGTCAAAATCTTTCGGGAAATAAGGTGACGTCTCTGGTCTAAAGTCTACACCGGGAGACAAATAAGTATATGTTTTTGGTGGCTCAGGTACCAATTTTGATCTAAGTAAGGAAAAAATATATGTAAATTTTATAGGACGAAAATTATTTACTTTATATCGATATACCTGTAAGTTTGCAAATATGGGCTCGGATCACTCACACCAAATTTATTTTCTACACGAACTCTAAATCTGTAATCCCTAAATGGTTCCAGATCCCTTATGTTACAATCACATCGACGGATACCCGTACGTACAGTATGCCAATCACCGTCGGGTAAATCCAGCATTTCCAATTGGTATGTAACAGGATAGCGAGGCATCGTTGGAACGGAAGGTTTCCAAGCCAGTTGTAGGTAATGATCAGTCATTTTAATTATGTGAGGTGGATCAGAAAGCGGTGTAGGAGCACCGGTATGTTTGTACTTATTGTAATCACGATATTGTTCACTTAAAGGTACTTGAGCGTGACTATCAAAAGCTGTAACGGTAATACATGCATTACATTTATTATTCAATATGAACAATTTCTTTAAACTTACTATCAAAAAGAAGTTCGGCCTCGCATTGATCATCGCCATGTGGATTGAAGACGCGGCATACATAGCGCCCCACATCTGTGTGGTCTACATCTTTGATCGATAAACGCATTAGGCCATTTGGTTCGGTTTCAATATGAATTTTGTCAGTATTGAATAGTTTTTGACCGTTTTTAAACCATTCAACTTCAGGTTTGGGATAACCAGTGGCCATGGCGGTAAACTTGGCTGCCATACCAGCGTAAATATCACAATCGCCAATTTTCTTAAGAAACACAGGCGGCTCAGCACGAGTATGCTTTTTGCTGTAATTAGATGTGAGGAACTAGCTTTGATTTAATTGGAGAATAAGGTTAAGCTTACATTTCATTAACAACATCGAGACGTCCCTGAGTAATATCTTTACCCTCGCGATTAGTTGCTATGCATTTATAGATGCCTTTGTCGGCATCGCCACAATCTTTTACGGTAAGAGTCTGGTGATCACCATCGTGCCGCATTGAATATTTATCACCCTCCGCTATAGGTTTTTCGTTAAAGTACCAGCTCAATTCGGGATAGGGTACGCCCGACACGCTTACAGTAATTTTGGCGTCACCGCCATATACTTGTTGCTGTTCCGTAATTTTCTGGGTAAATACAGGTTTCTTGTATACTTTACGCACATTCGCATGACATTTCGAAGTATCTTCACCTAGCGGATTAGCCAGTAGGCAGCTATAAACTCCAGAATCAGAAGTTTCAGACGGCTTAATAATCAAACCTACGTGCTTGCCGTCACAAGTCATGAGTGTACGTTCGTTAGGTGAAAGAGGAACACCGTCCTTACTCCATATCGTCTCAGGCATAGGATTGCCAACGAAAGGAGCCAAGAATGACAATTCCTGACCTTCATCGGCGCTTACGTCGCGCAACCCAGACACAAAACCAGGCGGTTCTTCGGCTGAGTTCTCGTCAGTTATCGGAGCCACATACAGCTTAGCTTTAGATGCTACGCTGCCATGAGGGTTTGTGGCAATTACCTCATACAAACCAGAATCCTTGATTGAAGGTTTCTCAATAATCATACTGTACGAATGGTCAGGGTTTTCAACCAAAATGCAATGTTGACTTTGTGGCAATAACTCTTGACCATTATGGAACCATTTAACTTCAGGTAAAGGATTGGCCACAATTTTAACATCCATTTTAACCGGAAAGCCTTCAACACTTCTTGAGTCTTGCAGTTCGGCAATGAATTCGGGTTTGCTGGGTTTGGGTAAAACTTGAATTTTGGCAGTACTTTCTACCTCTCCACCTTTATTGCTTATTACGCACTTGTAAATGCCCGAATATTGGGGCGTTGCGGAGTCAATGCTAAATGTATAAACCCACATACAATTAAGAATTTCGTACGGTTTGTAGTGAAAAACTTACCTTATGCCTATCTGACCATTAGGATTGTTAATAAAATTGATTTCCTTACTAGGTCGTAAAAGGACACCATCTTTAAACCATTTAATTTCAGGAGCAGGGAAGCCATCGACATGGGCCTCCAGCTTAAGAACTTCTCCTACCGTAACATTTTGATCCTGGAGCGGCTTGACGAATCTTGGAGGCAATGGCTTGGCTTTAAACGAAAGCGGATAGATAAGAAGACATTTTGCTTAATTCTCGGTTGAAGTGATTTCGAAAAACTTACGTGTTATAGCGACAGCACACAGCGCCACCTTTTTGCCATGTTCGTTAGTTATGGCCAATTTATAAGCACCCGAATCATTAGGTAGACATTGTTCAATTTCTAATTTAATTAAACCTTCCGGCGTAGAGGTAATTTTAACGCTAAGTAATGAGATTATGCGTAAAAATGTTTTATAGGTAATATGTATTAAAATTATCACGTACTGTTCACTGGGTTTAACTTCCTCATTATCTCTATACCATAATACAACAGGCAAGGGGCTACCGTCTATGATGCATTCCAAAATCAATGGCTCACCTTCATGTACCTCTTTCGTGGGCTCTAAACTCTTTACGAATGTGGGCGCCAAAGATTGCATTGTTAAAGTGAAAGGGCCTTCTGTTGTGCCTACATCATTAGTGGCTACAGCAGCGTAGCGGCCAATATCGTTTAAGCGGAAGTGCAAAATTTCCATTTCACTAGATATCTGATCACTACCCACTGGAGCAGTATGCACTTTATACAAAGGTTCGCCTGAAGCTTTGTCTTTAGCTGTCACCTCAAGAGGTTTACCATCCTTCGACCATTCCAGTTTGGGCCGAGGTATACCATGTACCAAAACTTTGGTCAAAGACGGGCTATAATCATGGACAATTTGATCTTCAGGTGGTGTAACAAACTTAGGCTTTTCCACTAATCAACGAAACGGAGAAAGTATTAATATTTCTCTTAACCCTTAATAGTCAATTATTTTTCATGCTTACCGTGAACATTGAGTTTGAAATCTTGACTGGTGGTGCCTTCATTGTTGACAGCTGTCAAATTATAAACTCCACCATCGGTGCAGGTAATAGTTTGGAAAACTAAACGGTATTTTTCGGCGTCCACATCAGCAATCACTTCGCAATTATCGTTATTGCATAAATTCTCATTCCCACGGCTCCAAGTTACCTTAGGCTTGGGATTGGCTTGGACAACAACATCAAAGCATACGGTATCGCCGGGTAAACAGCCTTGATCGTTGAGACCGATGATTTCGGGCTTTGAAAGAATATCCGCCCAGCAACTAGTCTCAAATTTACCATATTTGTTATCAACTTTCAATTCATAGCGACCATTATCTTCATGTTTGGCTGTGTTTTCCAAAAAATAAAACTTAATCAATTAGACAAGAATTTCGCTATACAATTTAAAGTGAAACTTACTTGCATCAATATGCAAAGTACAAGTGTATTCAATAAGTCCATGTTCAAAGTCTTTCTTATCTAAGGTGATTTTAACATGATCATCACCTTGAGTGGCTTTGCCGTCTTTAAGCCAAGCAATTTGCGGAGCAGGATCGGCAGTGAATACAACGCATAGATCCAAAGGTTTCCCCTTATGGGTACTTATATCTGAGAGAGCTCCACGCTTGATATTCGGACGACGATATTCAGCGACAGCTAAATATTTAATTTTTATGTTCTTAGAATTAACTTTCAATTTATCAACTTACGAGACAAAGAAAGTACGCCCTGGTGGCTTTTTTCGCCCACTTTATTTTTAATGATTACTTTGTAGTCACCGGCATCTTCCAACTTGAGCTCTTTTCTCTCCAAACGGTAGACATCCTAGAAATAGTGAAAGTAAAAGAATACAAAAGTGAAATTTTAGAGCAAATTTTTTCTTCTACACAGAACAGGAGAAAAACGATTAAAAAGAAATCGATTTTGCTGTATGTGTAAGAACATCAATGTATTTAATTTGTGATATATCTGAATCTTAGTGAAAATAGGTAGAATATCTGGCGCACTCTCTTTGAGGAAATCTTGCATATTTAGAAATTGTTTCCGACATTGTTAAATGTTTTCAAAAAATTGGCTTATCTACGCTACTGGCTTTCATTGCATCTATTGAAGAAACAAATTCACATTCTAATGGTTGGGAACAATTCGTAATATGTTTGATCCATTTATTGTGGTTATGAGCAGTTATTGTGCAGGATGACTGATGGATCGGAATGAGAAAAGTCTTGAGCGCCTGGCGCCATCGTAGGTAAAGGCAAAGTTATAGTCTGTTACTTACTTTATCTACAATGATAAAAGTCCGTTGGCCATCTGCTTTTATTTCTTTTCCATCTTTTAGCCAAATAGCTTCTGGTTTCGGTATTCCATGAGCAATTACTTCATATTTAAGCGGCACAGACTCAAAGCTGTGCTTCTCAAATATATCCACATGAGATATTTCAGGTTTAGCTAAAATTAAAACGTTAAGGTTATCGTCATTCTATTTTCCATCTCTTCGTCGAACTCACTTAATATTGTAACCTGACAACTAGAAGTGCTTTCACCGATCGTGTTTTTGGCTCGAACTTCGTAATTGCCGGCATCCTCAGTCTTGCAAATATTCAGAGTCATGTAATAGGATTCCGTGTGGTATGAATCCCGTGTGATTTTGATGTGAGCATCAGCTTTACATTCCTGACCGTTCTTAAACCATTTAATCGTAGCTTCGGGTTCAGCATAGATATCAGTTTCTAAAGTTAAATCATTGCCTTGCTCTACTTCTACATCTTTTAAAGGCCTTCTAATTTTAGGTTTGCCTTATATTTAAAAAATTGTTCGCATAAACATTTAGGATATAGTGATCTTAATTCATGTACTTACAATTCACTGTGACCTTGCACTCGTTTTGCAATTTACCGTAGTCGTTCATTATCACGCAACTGTATGAGCCTTGCAAGGCTGTGGTTACTTCTTTCAATATTAGTTTATAGTCATTACCGTCTTCTTGACGTCTGTACTCGTTTCGTTTTTCTTCAATTTCGATGCCGTCGATAAACCATTTCACATGCGGTTTGGGATAAGCATCAACGCCAACATTAAGCGTAACCTCTGTATCGCCTTCAGTTACAGTTATATTTTTCAAGCTTTTCGTTATCTCCGGAGTGCATTTAATTAGCAGTTTTGTTTTACTAGTAGCACTGCCGTGTTCGTTCTCGGCTTTGACTGAATAAGCGCCCGCATCCACCCGTGTAACTCCTGTCATTTTTAGAGTGTAAGCATTACCATCACACGACACCGAATATTTAGTTGAGTCCTTCAAGTTGATCACAGTTTCATCATGGTACCAAGTAAGTTTAGATTCGGGATAAGCATCAATTCTGCAAGTCATTAGAACCGTCTCCTTTTCGCCGTGGATGTATTCCTCCTCTAAGGATTTCACAAACACAGGCTTTGAATGTACTGTGCAGGTCCAATACTCGGAAGTTTGACTCAAATCATTAGTCGCTCTAAGCGAATAATTTCCAGCCTGTGATAATTTAATGTCCACGATTTCTATTGAGACTTTTTGACTGGTTTTTCCTATAACCGTTGTTCCTAGCTTAATATTCTTTTCTTCGGTAATATCTTTGCCATTATTGGTTAAGTTCAAAATGGGAGCAGGATTGCCGTCCACTTCCACTTCTATTCTCACTGTTTCGCTAACATTACACGTGACATCTGTAATCTTCTTGATTTTGGGAGGAGCTAAAGAAAAGAATATATCTTTATGACAAACAATTTTTTTAGAATAAAACATTTTCCGTTACCCTTAATGGTTAAATTAATTTCTGAAGTATCTTCACCCAAATCATTCACGGCATGGAACGAGTAGACACCAGCGTCGTCGGTGTTGGCGTTTTTAATAAGCAGTGACATACTTTCATCGTCTTCATATAGGAATTTATGCCTCTCATCCATTTCGACAACCGTACCATCGTGCTTAACTTGAACGGCCGGTTTAGGAAAACCTTTGCATTGCAATTCCAATATGGCAGTGCCTCCCACATGCGTATTAGCTTCACGATGTTCAATAACCAAAGTTGGTTTTTCCGGCTCTCGGTAAAGTGTTTGAATAGCACCTTGAACGGTTAGCTCTGCACTACATGAGATGCTACCCGTAGTAGTCTGGGCTACACAAGTGTAAATGCCAGCATCCTCAGGTTTCACATGTTGAAATACTAAAGCTAAAGAATCTTCATCTTCACCAAATAACACTTTAAATCTCTCTTCGGGATCAAATTCGACACCATTGCGTTTCCATGTGAAGACTGGTTTTTCACCGGGTAGCAAAATTTGACCGGCCAAGGAACCAAAGGGATTTTTATCCTCTACAATTTAAAGAAAGTTGGAAAAGGTAGAACACGAATAGTTATCTGTAAGATTTCTGACTAACCCACTGTTGTTACTCTGGCCTCACATAACGCTTCACCGTGTTTATTGACAGCTTTGCATACGTAGGTGCCAGCATCTTCTTTTAGGACTTCGTTGATCACCAGTTCGTAATAACCCAAATAATCTTTCTCACGCACAACATGGACACGAGCATCATCATTTTCCAAAATCTCCTGATCATCCTTGAAACTATGAAAGAGGAAAATAAACAATTTTTAAGGAACTAATGCACACAATGCTCTTTATATTTTATCATTCCTAGTATTTTTTTTTTGATTATATTAAGTAAATATTCTAAAAGAATTTGCATTATGTCACACACCAGATTTACTATTAAATTTGAAAATTAATATCTCCTTTAAATTATTGACTTACAATTGAACTTTAGGCTTGGGATCACCCATAATTTTGATAAGAAACCGGAACATTGTTGTCTCCAACATTTCGGCATCTCTTAAGCTAACGAGAAAGATTGGTGGTACATTCGTTTTCGATTCATCGTGGCCGGCAACTTAAATCAAAATTACGCCATCACTAAGCAAACGTAAAGAAGGCAAAATGTAATCAAATACCTTGACCAACTACCAATTGAGCCGTACAAGTGGTAGTTTCAGTGCCCGTTGTGGCTTTGGCGGTGTAAGCAGCCGTATCACGTTCGCTACATAAATATATATATTTTATATTTCCCAGGTCGCTGAAGAACTAAATTATTATAAATACCTGCAATTTTTAATATCCAAGCGATAAGAATTCATTGGAGCTTCAATTTGCGTTATACGATCAGCTAAAACGTCATCTAACGGTTTGTTATCCTTTAACCAAACGACCAAGCCTGGTTTCTCTCTATATTGTATCTCAAAATGAGCGGGTTCGCCAGCTAAAATTGAACGCATATTTTAGTGAAATGTCCAAACTCTTCCATGAGAATTATTTTAATTAGTGCCATTTATAAAACATCGACTATAGATTAGATTACACATGAACTTACGTTGCGCTTGCAAACATCTTAGCATTTTAATAACGACCGGTTTTTCAATCGATCGTGGTGCACGACCCTCCATCATGAGCGAGGCAGCGGAGCGTGCTCCGGCTCTTGACGCAATCGACTGACGTGAGTAGGGACGGTCTTCTAATTGACTATCGGGACGTAGCGTACTAGTGCTGCGATCTAAAACATGTCTTTGTGGTTTTAGTAGTGCATCTACTTCAGCAGTGCTATCATATGAAGTTCCTCTCGATTCGCGTGCTCTACTGCCTAGTAGTTTGCATGGAGAGCAGGAGCAGGTAACAGGCACACAGCAATAGGCATAAGCGACAGCGAGTGCATATAGTGTAGGCATTCCCAGTTATGAAATGTGTTTCGATTTAGATATACGTGTTTTATTTATGTATAAGTGTGATGAATTAGCGTAAAAAATGAAAAATAGTTGAGAAAAGAGAGATAGAGTTGGGAAGAGAGAAAAAGCCATTTAAAACAAAAAAAATCGCATAAAGCCATTACATTACATTACATTACATAGTAGTCATTAAACAAACAAACATACATTAGTCAATTAACAACATTTACAAACTTTACAAATGTGCTTAACATATATTTTTCTCTCACGGTGATTTTTTTTTTTTTTACATTCATTATAATTATTATGAGTAACCATAGTTTTTTTTACATTACTTTACACTACATTACAAGGCACAACAATGGTGCCTAATGGAAATGGAGCTAGAATGATAAAAAGGAAACTGTAAGAAGGGAAAAAGGATTGGGATATGACCTTTGGCCAAATGTCACATATCAGTTGACATAAAACCTACCGGGACGTCGTCTTGAAGCCACTGAAACAGATAAATAGTCTTCCGTGCGAGTAACGCTATGCTCACGTATTTCACTTTTCAATTCATCGTAGACCGATTCAGAATCGCTGACATCGCTTCGCGATGGTTCTTCGACAATTTCATAAATAGGTCTTTTTTTTTTAATGGGTGGCGTGAAAATGTGCAAAAAGTCTCGCGCTTGAGCTTTCTTCACTGTATCAACTGCATACTTGGTCGAATCGGTCGATTTCAATACCGTGCTCTTAATCGAGCGTATTTTCTTTTTGGCTGTACGTAACGATGTGTCAAAACTATCCGTTTCGTAAATGCCTTCTAGGAAATTTTGCGATTTCATTTCCAAAGCTTCGTTGTGCACAACCACGCGTGGTATTAGTGTAATGGGAGGTGGGGGTGAAGGGGGACGGGCTTTTATAATTAGTATCTCAATAGATGTTTCATAAGCAATGCGTGGTAAAGGTTGAAAAAAGCCGGGCATGCGTACAAAATGTGGCGGTAGGGGTGGCGGCGGTGGACCAAAGCCACCATCGAAACCATCACGTCCATATGTTATATCTGTAAGTGTGTTATTCCAATGCATAAGCGTGGCGTTATCCTTAATAGTGAAAACATTCGATCTTCCACCGCTGGCGTCTTGATCATGATCACCAGTGGCCTCTTTATAGCCAACTATATCTTGAAGCTCAATGTTCTTGTGTCGTGGTATGATATCTTGTGTGACAGTTATGATAGGCGCTTGCATAGGTTCTTGCGTTTGTTCAGGTTCAGGCTTAGGCTCAGGCACAGGCACAGGCACAGGCTCAGGCTCAAGCTCAGGCTGAGGAGTTAAAGCGGGTGCCGACATGGCTTTAATATTCTTACCAGTAGTGTCTTGTTCCTGTTGTTGACCCGCTGATGAAATCTCACTTTCCCTAAATTCACTTTCCTTAGCCTTCTGAATACCTTCTCTCTTGACTTTTTTAGGCGAAGATTCTTGAGCAGAGTCTTTGCTTTCTTCAGTTACTATAGTTTTTTGAGTTATCGTAGATGAATGCGAAGCAGTTTGTAGCGCTTTAGCTTCTGTTCTATCCTCAGTTTTTTGTCCCTGCTGGACTTTATTTTTTTGGTTGGAGCTTGCTTGCTGAGGTGGACTTGCAGCTTTCTTCGATTTGTTGGAAATTTCTTCGGAACCTCCAACAGATTCGTCTTTTTTCTGAGGAGAAACAACTTCTACTGGCTTATTAAGGTTACCTTCAGCGGACTGCTGTACAGTAGCCTCTACTGTCTTACTAACACTTTCTTTTGTAATTGTTTTCGAAGACTCTGTTTGTTTCTGAGCTACTTGGGAAATTTTATTTGGCTCAGGGCTTTTTTGTTTTGTGACCTTGCTAACTTCTAATGGCTTACTGGGGGCTGCGTGAGTTTCTGTTGTTCTTTTAGCGGGTGTAACTTGTTCCGGAGTTTTACTAGCCGATTTTTTGGCTATTTGTTCCTGCTTAACAGGTGCCTCCTGTTCCTCAATGTGTTGTGGAACAGTCTTTACTACCTTCTCGTTTTTCTCTACTTCTATCGATTTTGTAATAAATTGCTCATCAAGTTTAGCTGATTGCTGGCTCTCTTGAGTAATTTTTTCCGAAATTTGCGTAATTTGCGTTTGTTGTACAGTTTCGTTAGATTTCGTGACCGTTTTTTGAGATGACGACTGATAACTTTCGAGTTTCGTTTTATTGTAACGATCTATGGATTCTTTTTCTAAGCGTAAGAGTTCTTGGTATTCCGCTTGATAACGTTCTTTCTCCTCCTTAGTTAAGAAATGATCTTTAGCCACATCAGAGGCACGAATACTTGTATCGGGATTATAGGCTTCAGCCTTTTGTGGCAGATTCAATTCGGGCTCTAAATTCACTTGTGTCGGATCTACACGTAAATCATCGGCTCTATGCTCTTGCAATGTAACTTCCTTATCAATATGAGCACCAATTTCTAAATACCATCTCTGTCGTAACTCCTTATTACCGTTATGCGGTTTTATGATAATGGGAAGATTTGTATCTTTCGATTTTGTTTTCCCCGTAAATTTAATTACATTATTTGCCGCATCATCCTCTACTTGAGTATCAGGTAAACGTATAATATCTTGTAATAGAAAAACCGAACGTTTGTCACTTATTTTACGAACCTTACAAATAAGTATCCGTGATTTAAATAAAAATAAATATCTTTCATGCGATTTATTCTCTTTATCAATAACTGACCACCATTCGTGCAAGAGCAAACGGCCAATTTTACTGATGTTACCGCGGTAACCTTCAATGCTACTCAAAAATGTATTATCGAATGCTCGACTAGGAACGCTAAGCATTAACTCTAAAGCCTTTTGGATGTCTTTAATATTTTCTTTAAGGGTCAGTGAGAATTTAAGCAAATCCTGTGAAATAAAATAAATTTTTTTTTTTGTTTTTTGGTCATCAATCAAAGCCACTTTTTTGTTTTTAGTTTGGATATATCAAACATATTGTAATCGTTGTTAACGTTTGTTTTGCAGTGGTGGTGGTAATGGTAGTAGTAATAGTTATAGTAGTAGTAGTAGTACTAATGGTACCAGTGAAGGTGATGCTTGGAAGTATAGGTTGTGCAGTGTAATATGATGTAAAATGTTCAGGTGAGATCAAATAATTGTTTTTTCATACATGGATTTCTACGAAATTAAGTTATAGTGCACACAGCAAAAGCTCAATAAGATATGTTGTTCTATGGCCCTAGATATCTACTTCTACTTCTTATATACAGCCAGGAACGCATAAATAGCGCAGGTTTAAATTAAATATCTAATAAAATCCATTTAAATACACAGGTATAATTAAACGGCTTTATTCTTAATTGTGTTTAGCATTGTTGTACCGAAAATATTCCACTAGAAAATTTTTCGTAATCTTCCCTTCCTTTTTTTTTGTTTGTGCAACGCTTTCTGAAAATGATGACCAACATAGTGCAAAAAATGCAGGCATAGTTCTTATTAAAAATAATGCTTCAATTTCTATAGTATTGTTCTTTAAATTAATGAATACATTTGTTAAAACATTTGCATTTATAGGAGAAAGAGATAATTGTTCTAAGCACACGTAATGCATCTGAAGTGATGAAAACATTTTAAATAGCTTGTGCTTAATGTATTCCAAAAAAATAGTTTACGGTGCCATTTAATTGGTGAAGGAGAATTTAACTAAATAAAAAAATGGGGGGACTCATGAATGCAGACACCAAACTGAAAAGTAATGCTTTCTCTACCGTGTTAATCATAGACCGAAAAAGCAAGCGAATAATTTGAAGTTAGATTCATGGATAAGGTTCATAAGGAGTCTCAGCGATTCTTAGGTTCTTGGACTTTTACACTCTCTAATGAACTAAACCGCCGAGATATGAAAGAAAAAATGAATGTTTGGGATTGGCTAGCGCAAAGTCTTGGCCTTAATGGAAGCGAAAATTTTTCAAGTGTGAAAATTTGGGGACTAATATTTAAAAATAATCATACATGTCGAGAAGATGCTAGGAGTGGTTAATATTCCATATCGCATAGGACATATCAAAAGCTTGGCGAAAGCACAAGTCAACTCTGAATACAATATTAAATGACTGCATTATAATAAAGGAAAAAGTGTCAAGTGTTAATATAATTTATCTCAACTTATTTTCTGGTCAAATATTTTATACTGTTTTTATAGCCCAACAGTTTTCTTACCTTTGGGATTTTTACACCGCACACCATTAGTGGTATAAGGGTATATTAAGTTTGTGAGAATCTATGCAGCACTCGTTTGTTACACCGATCGAGCTACAAAGTGATTCTAAGCTTGTCCGTCCGTCTGTCCATATTTCCATCTTATTTTTTTGTGAGCAACCTACAGGTCATAAGATTCGAAAAATATTAATGAAGTTTACTACAACGATATAACCTTAGCCCACAGACGGATCGGACCACTTCCCATAAGAGATTTCATTTTGAAAGGTTGTTATGCGAATAACCGTATAAAACGAATTGGTGTAGCGTACTTAACGATTGACCCTGTTCCACTATGACGCTATTACTTGTTTTTGTTACAAGTATTTCATTTTGTTTCAAAACAATTTTTTTTTCTGTACTTCGCTATATTTTGAAATAACATTAACTTTTCTGACTGATGATTTCCGCTTAATAAATTTTCGTATTTATTCTAATTGCGGCTATTTATGCGTCTATGACTGTATGTTCTTCTTTAATCAAAGTATGTTTGTTGTTATTGTTTTTATTTTCAATTCTGATCATTTTTTTAAATATAATTTGAAAAGACTGATAATGTGCGTGTGGCTAATCAATGAGATACGAACCTTTAAAAGTAATTGATAATCGTTAATTCGTTGTATCGGCAATTTAAGATGTTCACTTAACGATTTCTCGTCGCTGTGTCGATTCGATATTTCCTGTAAATGAATTAAAATTGATTAAATTGTAGTTGCCCATATCTATGACGGTATTTGTCTATGATATCTTTTGGAAGACATTGACCTAAACATGTTGCTAATCTGCTTAAAACAGCCACAATGCTTAACACTAGAACTAGATAGTGTTTATTGCGGATGTTAATTTTTCAATTTCGATTTTCGAAGAAATGTTTACATACTATATACGGTCTTGGACATTCCGACGATGCGGAAAACCTCTTAAATATATACTTTTTCTTTTCCATGAGAGTCCAGAAGAGACAAATATTTGAATTTTCAATATTTTTGATTTATTAGGAACTTTAATGCTACTACTATCTCCACCGTTAACGAAATACAAATTATCATATGCATTACATTACGCACACAGAATTATTTCTCAAATCAATTTCAGGATGTCTATCCATACTTCCGTATCATGCTGCTCCATTGTTTAGAAAAAAAAAAAGTTGGAATTTTCAAAATATTTGGAACTCGGACATATTTTGACACAAGAATGACAACACTTGAAATGGATAAAAGCATTTGTGCGACCATTCTCCACATATAATATCGTATTTTGAAAACGTCATGAAGTGAAAAACAATTTTCAATTTGCATAGCAAATAATCGGAAAACTTTTGGCAGCAATATCTTGGCCGACTATAACGTTTTCATTTCTTTTCCTTTAACTCTCCGATGCTATAAAACCAGTGAGAAAATAATTTTGCAGAACCAATGCGAATTGAGTGCATCCGTCAAATAGAAAAATTATGAATCAAAGAAGAAATATGCGTGACTTCATAAAATCATTCACCACTACTAGGGCGGAGATTGAGATAGAGAGAGAGAAGATATCGATGAACTATCTTCAAGTGTAAAAGTTGAGCCATTATCTACGATAAAATCTTCGAATGAAATAATGGGGAGGTATGAAGATTTGTTTCAACAAACAATCAACTGCATTCCATATTTGAAATATTCATTAAGCTTACATGAAGGGGCAAAGCCATTTTTTTTGATTTCGGACTTAAAAGCTTTTCGGCACCGAACCGATAGATGAGATATAGTTTGACGCATTGTCTTTTTCGAACATGGTTTAGAGCGCATCTTCTAAGGGATTTATTCATTACTCATCGGTACAAGCTTTCCTCTTAAGAGATAAAGAACGCAGACCACACATATACTAGTTAGCAAAATTTAAGATTCGTTTAAAAAAAATTGGTTTTGAATGCCAGAAGCTATTCTCTGCTACATGCAGGAAAAATAATGTTTATAAAAATACATTTGTTGTACCTATCACCGGATAAGGACGTCTACATTCACAAAGAAGACTCAGAGGCCCATAGAACAGGACATATTCTTGAACAGCATCAGATTGTAAACCGTTTTAAGCATGTCGGTCTATTTGTCTGCCTGCCTGTCTATCTGTGTAGTATCTGTGGTATATATTCTCCTGGTGGTAAAAAGTAAACTATGCGTTTCAAATCTGGCAGAAGCATTGGAAATTCTTGCGTGCCGGTTCATATTGAAATTGGTCCAAATCGGCCAAAAAAAAACGTTCATAGTACAACATATGCTGTTTTCAAAAATAAAAGGAAAAGTGTGTTTGTGTGCATTTACATTCTATGGGTGCTTTTGCAGAAATTCTATAAAAGTGGGAAAAATTGGCCGCGGCCCTTTAATATTATAGAATATGGAAATTTCGTTTTTTGTTCGAAACGTTTGCAGCGTGCAGAAATAAGCTTCCGGGATCCTATTAAGTTCACACATTATTGATCAGCAAACCGTGCTAGACATGTACATCTGTGCCATGGTTTTCATTCTAGAAAAATAGAGAAAATCATCCACGCCCACCTAATGATAGGGTATACAGATATAATGTTCATTTGTTCGTCTTTTTTAGAGTAATTGCGAGGGGTATAAGATTCGGTCTCAACTAAATATAATATTCTTATTTGTTTCTTTTACAGTTGTCCATATAACTAAATATAAATGTCCTCCAAATCCATTTAATGTCTGATCTGCAAATGTTTTCTCTCATTTCATGATAACCAAACAAAATCAAAATTTATTTAGTCGAAATATTTTCCTTCAGTTTCGCATGAAAAACAATTAAAACGTTCCAATTGAATGTAAACACAAAAAAAAAATTAATAAATAAAAAAAGTAAAAAGAGAAAAACGCACAATTATTAAATAATTTTGACCAAAAATAAAAATCAGTGAAATAAAACGAAATAAAAAAGATAATTACATACCAGCTTGTTTTTGCGCGGCGGATAAGGACCGCGTAAAAAAAAAATAATCAGAAATTTCATAAAAGACTGTAACAAACAACTTTTCATCACATTTTTAAAGCAAATTTATCTAATGCGGTGGAAAAGGACCGGAAAAAATGGTTTGCCTTGGAGAATATGGCAAAGGGTTATGAAAAAGTTCTTTCCAAATAAAATAGAGTACACATGGAAATATTTTAAAAAATGCGAACTTCTCATTATACCTTACACCACTTTTGCTACAATGATATATTAAGTTTGTGCGGATGTGCACAACACCCACTTTTTATTATACCGATCGACTCAGAATCAATTTCTGACAGATTTAAGTTCGGCCGGCAAGTATACTTTAACTTCAATAAGAAAACACGACCAATTATTAGACAATTATTAGTTAATAGACAAAGCTAAACTAAATTAATTGTCTTTTTTAAATGCAATTAAGAATTTTGTTAAAATTTTAGATATTAACACAAGTAAAAAGACTATAGTGTTTGCAGGCTACCATTAGGTCCTACATTATCCTACAGTTACCTATATAAGGACTTTTCAAAATGCGGCAATATGTGGGACGTGGTCGAAAAAGTGGTCGGATCCGAACCATTTAAACATAGACACGTCTGTGTACCATATGTTATTAAAATATTTCCAAAAATTTGCACGAAATGCACGAAAATAAGATGGACAGACGGACAGACAAGCTTAGATCGGTTTATAAAGTGATTCCAAATAGATTGATATAATGAGAAAAGGCTCTTTATCAAGTCAAGTTTAGCGAGTATTGCATACACCCACGAAAAACTTAATATAGCATTGTACCACAGCGGTGTTTGGCATAAGAAAAAAAGCAAACCTTTTGCTTATAATTTTATTAAAGACGTAAGGTAAAGCTGAAAAATATGAACTACAGAAAACCTAGTATGATTCTAGAAAGCTTAAGATATGGTCGTTTTGCGAAGACTTTTTAAAAAATTCGACTTTTTTTTTTTAACTCAGCGGCGGGAAGTACAAGAGCCTAATGTAGTAGACTTTACCCCACTGAAATCACATATATATGTTTATGTATTGTAATTGAGAAATTAAACTCAACTCAAACGTATGCTTATCATTTACTCCAGCCTTGGAAAACAAATGTAGCAAAAGTTAGCATAAAATTAATATATCTTGCCCTTTAGCGGTGGACCTAAAGACATTTCATTTAAATTCAGTTTTCTTTTTTTTCGATTTCTTTTACATTCACATCCGAAGCATTTGTGTACGATGCTCCTCCATGGCCTTGATTAGATAACGGCTAAAAATATTTAATGAAACAGATCTGCTTTTTTGACAAACAAACAAACACACAAACAAGCAACTGTATGCCGCCGTCAGAGTTCAGCATTTTGTTATTGTTCGAACATATTTTCTTCATTGCTCGGTCATCTAATCATACAATTTTATAATAAATTTCGTAATAATTCAACAGTTGGCTAATGTATGCAATATATGTATGTGTTATGTATGCACTTTCAAAAATACATGTGCTTATCTTACAATAGAGCGTACATCGCGATTCTCTATCTCTAGCTAACTTACACAAGTACTTAACAGTGTATGTATTATTAAAATGTTGGCGCCTTTTTCCTCTTACCGTGCACACGTACATGTTTCTTAATGAAGATAAATTAATGACTTGAAAATATTTGTGTTATGATCCGTTGAAAATGTGAAAAATTTTGTTTTTTTAGGTAAACGTAGCATCTTTTCTGATTTAGCATAGACTTGGCCTAGAATACGAAAGTTAGTTCATATTAACCCATACATATGAACGTTTATTCATACACGCCTGTTTGGCAGTAGCGGTAGTGGGTGTTTAAACTCGTAATTGCCAAGAAAACAAAAAAAAAAAAAAAAAAATCGTTTCCCTTCCCCCAAAAAAAAAATGCAATTTCTATCTCCTTCTTGCATACGGATGCGCGAAATGAGGTTAGGGCGGTAAGCGTTCACAGTTTCCGAGAATTTATTTTATCGTCTGAGTAATGTAATGTAATGTTTATTTAATATCTTTTTGTGTGTGAACTAGATATTCTTCTTCTTTTTTTTTTTTTCTTTGTTAGTTTTACTCGACCACATTAAAATTGTGTAAACACGTATGTACGTGGACATGTGTGTACAGTTAAGCGGCTATTTTTAATGATCGCTATAACTGTTTTGATAGTTTATGTGAGATCTTTTTCTTAAGACATGTGATTAAAGAATAAGTAAAAGATTTATTTTAACAAAAGCACACTTGCAAGTGCAAAGGGGAAAGTTCTTCGCCTGATAGTCGCACAGATAGTTCCTATCTTTTATATCTGAGTATTCGAACGTTGCAAAGTTACTCCTCAACAGCTTACCATCACGTTGTCATCAAAGTTAGCAACATGTGGAAACTAAAGTATCGCAAACGTAGCATTCATTAAGTAAGCATTGTAACAAATGCCCTTTAGTTCCTGATTCCTGCTGACCTGCCTGCTCTCGAAATTTCCCATTCTTTCCAAAATCAAAAAAAAAAAAAAAACAACAAAAATTGATTTATTAGATAGAAGATTGGCTTTCGCTTTTGTATTCAGCTGTTTCGCAAATACGGCTGAATATTTCATACGTGAAAATCGCTTTCGCAGTAACCTTTCACTATCTATTTCGATAACTGACTCGATCTTTGAAATTCTTTTGCATATTTTTGAATTCGTAAGACTGCGTC